CTGGGGGCTGGAGCCTGGGGTCTCTCCCGTGCGTTCGGGTCTGGTCCCACAGAGCCTGGGAGCGGGGCCGGGGTGGGCAGCGGGCAGGGAGCCGGCGCAGGCAGGGCTGCTGCACCTCGCCGGGCGGGCACGTGTCCTGCGGCACGGCACCGCATGGCATGGCACGGCACGGGACCTGCCAGGCGTTGCTCCCGGGCGCAGGGAGAGGGGCGCAGGGAGGACGGACCCCTGCACGGGGGTCTCTGAGCAAGCCCGGCCCCCCCTGCTCTGCCCCCAGAGTGCCCCCCCCTGGGGCTGGAGTCCCTGCGGGTGCTGGACTCCCAGCTCCGAGCCTCCAGCGACAAGCGCTACGGCCTGGGCGCCCACCGCGGGCGCCTCAACATCCAGGTAGGATGTGCAGCGTGTGCGTGGCGTGTGCGTGGCGTGGTGGGTGCGGTGTGCACGGTGTGCGCATGGCATGTGTGTGGTGTGTACAGTGTGTGTGTGGTGTGTGCAGTGTGTGCACGGCGTGTGCACGGGGGGGTGTGATCTTCGCGTGGCATGTGGCACACGCATGGCATGTGTGCTGTGCGCGTGGCAAATGCCATGTGCATGGCGTGTGCGTGGCGCACGTGTAGCAGGGGCTCTCCAGCGTGGGCCCCTCCAGCCTCGCCGTGGCCGGCGGGAGCCAGGCCTGCCGGCAGTGCCGAGTTCCTCTGCATGGCGGACGGGGCGGGGGGCTCAGCCACGGCCCCTTGAGGGGTCCCGTTAAACCCGGGACTCGGTCCCCGCCCAGGCGGTGCCATGCAGCCCAGAGCGCTGTCCCGGTGCCGCTGCCATGCCGGTGCCGTGCAGGCACAGCTCCTCGCGGGACCACGGGCCAGGGGCTCGCGGGCGGTGGGGACGTGCCCCGGGCAGGGCCCTGCATCCCCCTCCCGTCCCTGACCCCCCCGCAGTCCGGGCTCTACGACGGCGACTTCTACGACGGCGGCTGGTGCGCGGGGCAGGAGGACACGGAGCAGTGGCTGGAGGTGGATGCCCGCGGGCTCACCAACTTCACCGGCGTCATCACCCAGGGGCTCAACTCCATCTGGACGTAAGGCGCCGGGCAGGGCCAGCGCTGGGGGGCCGGGCAGGTGCCGGGACCCCGCTGACCCTCTCCCCATGCAGGTACGACTGGGTGACGTCCTACAAAGTCCAGGTCAGCAACGACACACGCACATGGGAGCCGTGCCGCAACGGCACCGAGGAGGCGGTAGGTGCCCGCGGGGCGCAGCCCTGGTCAGGGGTGGTGGGAGCAGGGACCCCCGGCACCCCCAGCCCACCCGGCTCCCCGAGCAGAGCCAGGGCATGGGGATTAACCGTGCCGGGGGGGTTAACCGTGCCGGCTGGTGCTGGGCTGGGGCCCGGCTCTGTTGCCTTTGGCCTCCCCACCTGTGAGCGTCCTCCAGCGCTTCGCCCCGGGCACCCGGCACAAAGGCTGCTTGTCCCAGGCTGCCGCCCCGGCCGCCCGCCAGGC